GGCGCTAGTTTTAAAAAACCTTAATACAACACTTGCAATCAATCCTGCATAACATGCTTTTTCATCCTTTTGTTGTATGTAAATTTTTCAATTGTTTTGCTCCTGCCTTTTAGTCAGTTTTTAATATAAGTGTTCTCTAAGTATTTGTACCTGCATTTGTATATTTCATGATTATGCATGAATCATACAGCCTTACTTTATGTCATCATCAGATGGATGCATTTGTAATTGATGCAGTCAATCTTGGTATGGTAGGAGGTATATCCGTGGGTATTGACTCAGATGACATTGATAAGAAATGGTATCTTGATAAAATAGTATTGAAAGACAGTAAGGATGAAGACGCTAAAGTAACAGAGTTCAAATGTCAGAAGTGGTTTGGAGACAATGAGACATTTGTTACCTTCTACCCAGAAGGTAAGTCGGCTAGTCAGTCAAATCTTTATCACTCAATATATATTGATGACATTCCAGCAAACCTTCTCAACTTTAAGTCCATGAACTTTAAAATAGATATTTCCAACTTGTATCTTTGCAGCCAAACTGAAATGTGTTGTTCATAGTAGTGAGAAGTCTGAAGGTAACTTGAATGGTTCTAAAGTCTATGTTGCTGCATTTATGTATAGTGAAGATACAGGCTTCACTGTGTCGGATCATGTGGTATTAGACAACGGTCAGGATGATATGTTTTCAGCCAATAAGGTGGATGAATTTGAGGTGATTATAAAATGCATATATTACCAAATTACTATTCACAAGTGAAGATTTAGTTGCTTCTGTATCAATAGTTTTAAATTACAATACTCGTCTGGCTTAGCACCAATGCCCATGACTGAGTGCCCATCCCCTCCAATAATTTTACTGTCTAATCATAAAACCTGGTCTTTGATCATTGTTTGACTTTTTCTGATAATCAAATTTATATAATACAGCATGAATATTGACCACTGTGAATATGTTGTGAATGCATAACCATGCATAAACTATGCATAAACAAAAGTGAAAGACTTCATTCCATATTCAGTTTACCATTACCATTCATGCTGTTTTTTTGCCAAAATCATTTTCAACAGATCATACTGATCATACAACATTAATATATTCACTTCCACATTGCATTCCCAGAATGCTTTTGCAAATTTCTGAAAAAATGTTGTTGGTACAAACATCACATCATTCTGATTGGTTAATAGCAGACAATCAGGTCGAAGGAGGATGTGGCACATCAAATCATGTGTGAAAAAATCATGGCGGAAAATGATTTGCATTGAGAGTTTGTGTATGGTCCAACATATTCGACAATGAAGATAATAACTCTTAGACTAATATTTTCAACCTTGTAAATTCTGGTAGTACGTAATTAATATTGTAATAAAATATATTTTTTTGTTTCTTCATTGTAAAAGTGTTGTTTTAACTAATGACGACGCATCTAATTTCGCAATTTTACTTTCCCCAAGAAGTCATGTTATTCCCCTCAATCTCTCATCCACCAAAACAGTTTTGGAGCCGAGTACTCTGGGCACTAAGTCTGACCAGTATGGTAAAGTTATGATTAGGATGGGCTCTCAGTTTAAACCCATTTTGTGATAACATCACATAGGTTGAGCCATAAGTTATCCTGGGATGGTGTCTAATGACAAGGATAAGTGCTGAAAATGACAAGATATCTCTACATATACATGTATTGCTCAATGCTTGGTTTCTTGATTTAGTGTTGTTATTTACTCTCTACATATAATCACTGGCTAGCTTTACATGATGCTATAGGGCTTATTACATTGTACTATATTTTGATACAATTACACTGTGTAGGCTAATTTTGGGGCTATAAACCTGATGGATGTTTACAAGATCAGAGGCTGGCTGGATGATGATGATGTACAGCCTAATGAAGCTGGACAAAAGAAATGCCCATCACTACATTTTAAATCTATTTGCATGAAATCTGATGGTCAAGAATTTAGCTATGAGGTCAATAAGTGGTTGTCAAAGACAGAGGACGACTGTGAAACTGTAAGAGAACTGCCAATAATAAGGACTCAGCCAGACACACTGCCAGGTAATCAACCTGCTTCAATATTTGAATGATATTGTCCATCACTTATTGCCTAGTATATTCAAATAAATTTCAAAATAATTTGTCACAGTGTTTAATTAATGTTTTTGCTACCTTCATTGAACCAAATTTAAAACTTGTCTATGCTTGTTTTGAAAATATTTTAGCAGCATAGTTTAGAAAACTCAAAATAAAATATGTGTAAACCAAACATCAAAGGCACTAAGAACAATACATTTAATTTAATATATAAAAAAATGGAATGAAAAGTTTAGACTGTTGTCAGTTTAGACTGGTTATATTACGATGTAAAAAAAAAACTGATTGAATGCATCAGTGTACCAGTAAATTAACATCAATATTTTAAACAGTAAATTTATTTCGCACTTGTGACAATTTATTAACATCTCATTGAATTATTTTCTATGCACATCTGATACTAGGATTGCACTTCCTGAGACAAGGTATATGCACTTTATTATGATATTTCTCTCTCACATCTGTGACTATGGTAATACTAAACAGCTACTTCAATGTAAATAGTATTATGTACTGATAACTCGATCTTATTAAAGTTGTAGCAAATTCATTGCATTTAGAATGTTTCAATTTTTGCAAGTTGTAATGTTTTATTTTTGATCAGTGAACCTAGTATTGCCAATGAAAGAAATGTATATTTTTTTGTGGGTTCACCAAATTACAAATGCACATTTTACTTTTGAATGTTGGCCTTCAAACGAAAAGTCATTAATTTTGTAAACATCTTAAAAATGTAAAGATGGAATAACAAACTGCAGTGAATTTCTAAAATTATCCAGAGTTTATTAAAATCTAATCAAATTGATTGTTCATAGATGAATAAAAGCACATGTCGGTGCTAATGAGTAGACCAAGGGCGGTAGGCAAAAGTGCCTGGGTCAAGAGAATACTAGAAATAATACACGAATATTTTCCTTATTATGAGCAACATTCTAGAAATGAAAAAAAAACTGTACTACGAGCATTACTGTGGTGACACACTTTGACTCGAACTCGTAGCTGTACCAGTATTGGTTTTGCGTCTTGATCAGACTCTGAGTTTTAGAAAACGTTAGTCTAGCACATACAAGACATGGCCACGCGCTTTTTGAAAACGATCGAATGTAGGATGCTTTCACCGCACTTTTCATATTAATAGATGGGGTATGACACATCCAAAGCTGACCAATAGGTGTTCGCCATATAGAACATGTGACCTGCAATTTTTCATCCAATGCTCGTACCATTGCTTACGTGTACTGTGCTCTTCTTCACATTATTATGCATGTCTGCCTTATATAAAACAAGGTACACACCATGTTCGATCACTCAAAAATAGGCTCGACCAAGCAAAATTTTCAATATGTTCATGGTCTATTTCTATATTCATAAAGATTTTTCAAAACCATCACATATAAAATATGTACTATTTTACACTAAAGTAATGATGATGTGGTTATTTGGCACTCAACCGTCAATTACGAACACCATAAATTATGTTCTTATGCCTACCGCCTTTGAGTAGACACTAATCTTTGTAGTACCCACATGTTGGTGCCACTGAGTGGACACTAATCTTTGTAGTTCCCACATGTTGATGCCACTGAGTAGACACTAATTTTTGTAGATCCAACATGTTGGTGCCACTGAGTAGACACTAATCTTTGTAGTTCCAACATGTTGGTGCCACTGAGTAGACACTAATCTTTGTAGTTCCCACATGTTGGTGCCACTGAGTAGACACTAATCTTTGTAGTTCCAACATGTTGGTGCCACTGAGTAGACACTAATCTTTGTAGTTCCCCCATGTTGGTGCCACTGAGTAAATACTAATCTTTGTAGTTCCCACATGTTGGTGCCACTGAGTAGACACTAATCTTTGTAGTTCACACATGTTGGTGCCACTGAGTAGACACTAATCTTTGTAGTTCCCACATGTTGGTGCCCTTGAGTAGACACTAATCTTTGTAGTTCCCACATGTTGGTGCGACTGAGTAGACACTAATATTTGTGGTACCCACAGGTTGGTGCCACTGAGTAGACACTAATCTTTGTAGTTCCCACATGTTGGTGCCACTGAGTAGACACTAATCTTTGTAGTACCCACATGTTGGTGCCACTGAGTAGACACTAATCTTTGTAGTTCCC